CACTTATAATGAATTCATAATGAACTTACTATAAACTGTGCTTCTAAAAAACTTGGTCTAAACACTAAACTGCATAATCCTAAATCAAATTAAGGAGTGGATATACTTATATCATTTATCACTTAAGCAATATCTAGTAACTTATAACCAAGTGAAAGAAAGCATTCTTGATGTGCTTCAGAGTTTAACCCATGCATATGTTAGAAAAGGCCAAGCGGCATAGTGGGAAAATGGAAAAATAAACCATGACATTTCCAGGTTAGCTGTGAGTACTTCACATAAACATGCCATTTTCTTCTTCCACGACTGCACAGAATTCTTCGGCGGTATCAAACAGCAAAGGTGGAAGACAGAAGGGCCTCAGCTTCCCGGGCTCGCCCTGCGGCCTGGGGTCTTCGACCCACCCGGACCCTGTCAATCAGGTGGGCCTCCAAGGCTGGCTCCCAACAACCACCAAAGTTATTTTATTTTATTTTTTTGAGTTGGAGTCTCACTCTGTCACCCAGGCTGGAGTGCAGAGGCACGCTTACGGCCATAGCTGCTGGGCTCAGGTGATCCCTCCGCCTCACTCAGTCTCCCAAGTAGATGGAACTATAGGTGCACACCATTGTGCCTGCTCAAAGTTGGTTTAAATGGAAATTTGACATTCAAACATCAATCAATAAAATCATCTACCTTAATGAAAAAAGAAATTATATGATTAGGCAAGTGAGGCAAAAGAAATTGTCTAAGTCACTTTATTGAGGTGTGAATGACTGATAAGAAGTTGTACATAAGCCGGGCTCAGTGGCTCAGTGGCTCAGCCTGTAAATTAAAATAAGGCCGGGCGTGGCAGCTCATGCCTATAATCCCAGCACTTTGGGAGGCCAAGGTGAGAGGATTGCCTGACCCTACAGGTTCAAGACCAGCCTGGGCAACTTGGTGAGACCTCATGTCTATAGCAAATCAAGAAAAAGTAGCCAGGTGTGATGGTGCATGCCTGTGGTTCTAGCTACTTGGAGGCTGAGGCAGAAGGATAGTCTGAGTCCAGCAGGTTGAGGCTACAGTGGCCACAAGCATGCCCCTGCCCTCCAGCCTGGGTGACAGAGTGAGACTCCAACTCAAAAAAAAAAAATAGCCAGCCATGGTGGTGGCATGCACTTGCAGTCCCAGCTACTCAGGGGTCTGACGTGGGAGGATCGCTTGTGCCCAGGAGGTCGAGGCTACAGTGAACGATGAGTGCACTGCTGCACTCCAGCCTGGGTGAAAGAGTGAGACAGTCTCAAAAAGTAAAAAGAGCCGGCAGTGGCTCAGCCTGTAATCCCACGCCTTGGGAGGCTGAGGTGAGTGGATTGCCTGAGCCCATGGGTTCGAGACCCACCCGGGCAACTTGGTGAGACCTCTACAATAAATCAAAAAATCAGCTGGGCATGGTAGCACGCGCCTGTAATTCCAGCTACTCGGAAGGCTGAGGCGGAAGGATCGCCGGAGCCCAGCGGGTCGAGGCTGCGGTAGCCGGGAGCGGCCACTGCACTCCAGTCTGGGCAACAGAGTGAGACTCCGACTCAAAAAAAAAAAAAAGTAAAAAGAAAAGATAAGCAGAAGTGTCAGGCCATTGTCAGTCAAGAAATGGCTTCCCTTGAGCTTATCTGAGCAGCCAGGGTTGTCAAGAGCAGGAAGTTGGAGGCAGGCTTGTGGCCCTCCAGGACTCAAGTGAGGAGGGAGCCATGGCCGGCAGGCGGGCTGGCCCTTCCCGCTGGAGTCCCCCTCAGTCCTAGCCTGGAGTCTTCACCCACGAGGCACTGAGGGACCCGGTACCGAAGCATGAATGGCTCAGCCCCTCCAGGGGCAGCTGCTGGGCACGGTCTGCGCAGGCAGAGTCCACACAGCCCCGGCCTGAGTCCCTGATCACTGGGGTCCCGTGGGTGGTCGTTCGTGTGTCCAAGAAAGCGGCATGGCTGGGCCAGAGGGGGAGCGGGCTCCCAGCGGGCTCAGAGGGCAGGCAGGCTCCCGGGGGGGCCCTGTGGATTCTCCCTGCTCAGCCAAGCTTCAACCAGCAGCCCCAGAAGAAGTGACAGGAACACCCCACCGAGGCCCAGCCGCAGGTAAATCCAGGGGACAGGTCCTGGGGGTGGAGGAGGCGAGAGAGAGCAAGGGAGAAAGAGCAAGAGGGGGAGAGAAGGGGAGGGGAGTGGAGACAGAGAGAGGAGGGAGGAGAGAGAGGGAATGGAGGGGGGGGAGGAGAGAAAGAGAAGAGAGAGGGAGGGAGAGGCAAGAGAGAGAGAGAGAGAGAGAGAGAGACATCCAGAGAGAGACAGGGAGAGAGAGAAAGATGTGGGGGAGTAGAGAGAGAGAGACAGAAGAGAGGAGGAGAAAGAGGAAGGGAAGAGAGAGAGAGAAACAGAGAGAGACACCCAGAGAAAGACAGAGAGAGAGGAAGAGGAGGGGGGAGAGAGAGACAGAGACAGAGGGGGAGAGAGAGAGAGACCCAGAGAGAGACAGGAGACAGAGTCAGGAAGAGAGAGGGAGGAGAGAGAGAGAAAAGAAAAAGAAGGGGAGGGAAGAGAGGAGAGGGGAGGGGGAGAGGTCTCAGTCCAGACTATGACCGTGAAACCTCTCCCGCTCCCCAACCTCGGCTGTGCTCAGCCTGCCTTGTCCTGCATTGAAGGTCACAGTTACCAGCCCAGGTTGGCGGGCATGATCACAGCACACAGACAACGGCCTGAAACCCAGTCTCCCACTCTTCCGCCTTGAGCCTAGACACGAAGCTGTGTCAGCCCAGAGGAGGGGCCCCTTTTCCTAAGACCCTGAAGCCCAGGGTGTTGAAGAGCACTGGGGGCGGTCTGGGTCTTGAGGTCGGGCTGCCTTGGGATCTGGGCTGCCTCCCTCCACCAGCCTCATCTTCTGCCTTTGGGGTCTGTCCAGTCTCCAGGTTCCTACCTCATCTCCCTCCTCTGGACACCTGGGCTTCCCCCGCCCCCTGCAGAATCTCCTGTGGGCACTCAGATGCCGGTCGGGGTCCGAGGAGTGTGCAAGTGTGCGGCCAGGGTGGGGGGGTGGGGGCCCTCACCTCGGTCCTCCAGCACCACAGGGTCACTGGGACTGGACCACAGGTAGGAGGCCGTGCTCAGGGCCCCGTAGCAGCGGTAGGTCCCGCCATGGGCCAGGCTCATGGGGAAGCTGGCCTGGAACACCCCGGCCTGGTACTTGGATCTCAGGTGCAAAGGCGGACCGGCGTCGCCCTCCCTGGACAGGTGGAAGGCATCGAACCAGCTGCTGGAGACACAGGTCAGGGACCTGTTCTTAGGAGGCGCCCGCCGGACCAGGATGTGGGGTTTTTTGTAGACGCCTGGAAATGAGAAGGAATGTGCTTAGGGCCGGGTGCAGGGCTCACGTGGCGAGACCTCATCTCTACAATAAAAAAATTTTTAAAAAGCCGGTCACAGTGGCTCACACCTATAATCCCAGCACTTTGGGTGGCCAAAGTGAGAGGGTTCGAGACCAGCCTGGGCAACTTGGCGACACCCTGTCTCTACCATAAATCAAAAAATTAGCCGGACGTGGTTGTGTGTGCCTGTGGTTCCAGCTACTTAGAAGGTTGAAGCGGAAGGATCGCCTGAACTCAGTAGGTCAAGGCTGCGGCAGCCATAAGCGTGTCCCTGCACTCCAGCCTGGGTGACAGAGTAAGATTACAACTCAAAAATAAAAATAAAAATAAAAAATTAGCCAGTCACGGTGGCACATGCCTGTAGTTCCTGCTACTCGGGAGGCTAAGACAGAAGAATCTCCTGAGCCCAGGAGGTGGAGGCTGCAGTGAGCCATGATCCTGCCACTGCACTCCAGCCTGGAGGACAGAGTGAGACTGTGAAATAATAATAATAATAATACATATTTATAAGGTACTGTGTGATGTCTGGATGTATGTATACGTTGTGAGGCTCACACTTGTCATCCCAGCACTTTGGGAGGCCGAAGCAAGAGGATTGTCTGAGCCCAGTGGTTCTGGACCAGCCTAGACAACTTGGCAAGACCTCACCTGTACAATAAATTAAAAAATTAGCTGGGCATGGTGGCGTGCACCTGTAGTTCCAACGACTTGGAAGGCTGAGGCAGAAGGATAGCCTGAGCCCTGCAGGTCAAGGCTTCGGTGGCTGTGAGTGTGCCACTGCCCTCCAGCCTGGGCGACAGAGTGAGACTCTGACTCAAAAAAAAGAAAATTCCAAAATTAACCGGGTGTGGTGGTGCACACCTATAGTCCCAGCTACTCAAGAAGTCGAGGGGAGGCCGGGCTCGGTGGCTCAGCCTGTTATCCCAGCGCTTTGGGAGGCTGAGGTGAGTGGATTGCCTGAGCCCGCGGGTTCGAGACCCACCTGGGCAACTTGGTGACACCTCATCTCTACAATAAATCAAAAATTAGCCGGATGTGGTAGCGCGTGCCTGTAGTTCCAGCTACTTGGAAGGCTGAGGCGGAAGGATCACCGGAGCCCAGCAGGTCAAGGCTGCGGGCTCCACTGCACTCCAGTCTGGGTGACAGAGCAAGACCCTGTCTCAAAGGAGTAGAAGAAGAAGAGGAAAAAATAGGAGGAGGAGAAAGGGAGCAGGGAGGAGGAGGAAGAAGAAAAAGAGGCTGCAGCAGTGCTAGACTCAACTCCACCATGTCATCACCTCCAATTTCTTCCACCCTGCACCCCCTGGATGCCACCCCGATTCCCCACCATCCCAGGGTATGCCTTGTGATTCCCAAATGACCAAGCTTGATGGGATTCGTCCCACACCTCTGTGCTCTCTGGCCAGCTATTCCCTCTGGCTGGACCCCCCCCCCCCACCATTTTTTTCTTTTGAGTCGAGGTCACCCAGGCTTGAGTGCAGTGGCACAATCATGACTAAGCACAGCCTCCGCCTCCTGGGTTCAGGTGATCCTCTGGCCTCAGCCTCCAGAGTAGCTGGGACTTACAGGCATATGCCACCACGTCTATTTTTTTTTCTTTTTTCTTTTTTTGAGTTGGAGTCTCACTCTGTCACCCAGACTGGAGTGCAGTGGCCGCTCCTGGCCACCGCAGCCTCGGCCTGCTGGGCTTTGGTGGTCCTTCCGCCCCAGCCTTCCACGTAGCTGGAACTACAGGCGCATGCTACCACGCTCGGCTAATTTTTTTTTTTAATTGTAGAGACAAGGTCTCACCAAGTTGCCCAGGCGGGTCTCGAACCCTTGGGCTCAGGCAATCTTCTCGCCTCAGCCTCCCAAAGTGCTGGGATGACAGGCGTGAACCATCGCACCTGGTCATATACATATACATTAAGCCTAGGAACTCATGGCCTCCCTTTTCTGGAATCCTCCCACCTGGAGAAGACACCCTCAGAAGAAAGGACCCCATGGGGGTTGAAGGAAGGCTCCACCCCCCACCATAATCCCCTGGAAGGATTTGGGACTAAGGTCTTGGCCACCAGTCAGACCACCATGGAGACGGGGATGCAGGGCGGGTCCAAGACCTCCTCACCTGTGACGGTGACCTCCAGGGAGCCGCTGGGCGCTGACCACTCGTAGGGGAAGCCGCTGTGAAAGCCGTAGCACCGGTAGGTGCCCCCGCGAGCCTGGCTCACAGGCGAGAGAAGGAACACACCCAGGCTCTGCTTGATGTATTCCATGGAGGATGCTCTTCCCACGTCTCTGGACAGAACAAATGTGTCGTACGAGGTCGGCGAGTGACAGAGGAGGGTCACGTTCCCTCCTAGGGGGACTCGGGGGCCAGGATGCACCGAGAGCGAGGGCTGGTCCGGGAGGACACCTGGGAGGACGGAATGTGGTGAGGCACAATCCATGTTTCCCCAGCGGGGCTGGGACAGGAAGGGGAGAGGAAGAGGGGGTGAGATTCTCTGCTCCAAAGTAGGTTTCTCAGCCTCAGCCCTGAGGGCTTTTGGGACCCTCATTATTTGCTGGGGAGGTGGTGGGGGGGATTCTTTGCACTGTGGGATGTTGAGCGTCCCTGGCCTCTACCCCTCAAGGTGTGACAACCAAAAACATCCCCAGGCCAGTACGGTGGCTCACACCTCTAATCCCAGAACTTTGGGAGGCTGAGGCAAAAGGATTGCTTAAGGCCAGGAGTTCAAGACCAGCCTGGACAAATAGCAAGACCTTGTCTCTACAAAAAAAATCAAAAAATTGGCCAGGCGTGGTTGCACACACCTGTAGTTCCAGCTACTCGGTAGGCTGAGGTGGACCTCAACTCAAAAAAAAAAAAAATCAGAAACTGGATGGGCTCACACCTGTAATCCTAGCACTTTGGAAGACTGAGGTGGGAGGATTGCTTGAGTCCAGGAATTCAAGATCAGCCTGGACAACATGGCAAGATCCCATCACTATAAAAAATTATTTTTCTTTTTTCTTTTTTTTTTTTTGGAGTCAGATTCTCACTCTGTCACCTAGGCTGGAGTGCAGTGGAACGCTGCTCATGACCACTGCAGCCTCCACCTGCTGGGCTCAGGTGATCCTTCCACCTCAACCTTCCAAGTAGCTGGAACTACAGATGCGTGCCACCACAATTGGCTAATTTTTTTATTTATTGTAGAGACGAGGTCTCACCAAGTTTCCCAGCCTGGTCTCCAACTCCTGGGCTCAGGCAATCCTCTCACCACAGCCTCCCAAAGTGTTGGGATGACAGGTATGAACTAGTGTGCCAGGCCTACAAAAAAATTCTTTAAAAAAAATTTTTTTAAAGAAATTCAGAAATCTAAGACTTCCACCCAGACCTACGGGACAGAACGTCACACAATCCCCAGGTGAAAGACTGAGAAGCAGCCCTCGGGCAGGGCTTCTCAGCTCAGGGCTGTTGATGACTGGGGTTGGATCATTCTTTGTTTCGGGCATCAAAGGATGCTGAGCAGCACCCCCAGTCTCTGCCCACTAGATGGCAGTATCGCCTTCCAGTGGGGACCCCAAGGGTCTCGGGACATGCTAAAGACCCCTGGAGGGGAATTATCTCCACTGCTGAGAATGGCTGAAGAACCGCAGGTGGGTTGGGGAATCTTCTCTTGACCTGCCCCAGCTCCAGGCTGTGGGCCTGCGTCCAGAAGCCAGAGCCCAACGCTCCAACCCAGCCACCCTCTCTGAAGCCACGTGACCCCAGTGAGGCAAGGGAAGACAGGAGGCAGAGGACGGGAGCGGGATCTGCTGGTGTTTTTGGACCTGAGAAACGGAGCCCAGGCTGAAGGTGTGGGGACCCACCCAGGGTGCGCCTCACCTGAGACCACCCTGGGTGAGTCTCATCTGGGACCACACGGACCATCTTTGACACCCAGGGCATCTCTCACCTGTGACCATCCTGGGCATGCCTCACCTGTGGCCCCCTGGGAGCATGCCTCACCTGTGACCACCCTGGGCTTCCCCCACCTGTGACCACCCTGGGAGTGCCTCACCTGTAACCCCCCAGGGGCATGCCTCACCTGTGACCACCCTGGGTGTGACTCACCTGTGAACACTCTGGGCTTCCCTTACCTGTGACCACCCTGGGCTCCCCCCACCTTTGACCACCCTGGGCATGCCTCACCTGTGACCACCCTGGGGCGTGCCTCACCTTTGACCACCCTGGGCATGCCTCACCCGTGACCATTCCCAGCATGCCTCACCTGTGACCACCCAAGGACGTGCCTTACCTGTGACCCCCCCCCCAGGACGCATCTCTCCTTTGACCACCCTGTGGCCACCAGGGGGAGTGCCTCACCTGTGACCACCAGCTCTAGTGGGTCGCTGGGCTGGGACCAATTCAGCATCTCATACTGGCAGGTGTAAAACCCTGCAGAGACGTTGGTGACAGACGGGAGGGGGAACTTGGCCCCCTCCCAGGGTCTCGGTGGCTTTTCCTGATGCCACAGCTGAAAGGTTCCTGGATGTCCCAAACGGTACCGAGCTGCCCTAGGAGGCCCCCTGCAAAGGATGGTCACAGAGGTTCCCTGGGGAACCACAGGCCCTGGCAGTGCCTGGATGAAGGGCTTGGGCTGCACTCCTGGAAGAGAAAGAGAGTCTGGAAGCCACGGCACCAGGGTGGCAAGAGGTCCCTTCTCTTTACTAGATGTCAAAAACTTTGGGGAAGGCAGTCACACCCACAGGCACTGTGGAAAAAGGGCTTAGGGTCTTGCTGTTTGTAGCAGACAGACCCTATGGGGCTCCCAAGATTCCATACCCCATGTGACACCCCTCCCTTTGAGGGTGGACAAGACAGACATATGACACAAAGTTGTGACCAGGCGTGTGAGCCTGTTATCCCAGCACTTTGGGAAGCCGAGGTGAGAGGACTGCCTGAACCCATGGGCTCGGGACCAGCCTGGGCAACTTGGTGAGACCTTGTCTCTACAATAAATAAAAAATTACCTGAGTGTGGTGGCAAATGCCTCTAGTTCCAGCTACTTGGAAGGCTGAGGTGGAAGGACAGCCTGTGCCCAGCAGGTCAGGACTGCGGTGGCCATGGTGTGCCACTGCACTCCAGTGTGGGTGACAGAGTGAGACTCTGACTCAAAAACAAAAAAGACTCCATCCTTGCAGCAACATGAATGCAGCTGGAGAAGATCATCCTAAGCGAATTATTACAGACACTGAAAATTCAATATCCCCAGCTTTATTTGTGACCATCAGAAATGTCTCCCAACATTGTCAGATGTCCCCTGGGGGCTAGATGGTGCCTGGCCTATCTGTTTCTCCTCAATCGCTTCTGCAGGTTTATCATCACACCCCCTAAGTGCAGGTCCCTGGGTCACTTCTCCTCTGTGGACAGTCATAGGACAGGGGCTCACAGCTTCACACCCATCTGCCTACCCCATGACACCAGACTTCCGTCTCATCGTTTCCTCCAGAGCCCCAGATTCACAAAGCCCACTCCCTACCCAAGAGTTCCATTTAGAGGCTGAAAGGAGGTACCTACAGAAACCTAGAATAATCTTAGTTCAGCCTTTTTGCCTCAGTATAACCATTTTTGCTTAGACTTTACTGCTGACACGCTTTGAATCTAGCATAGGTTAGACATAGATAAATTTCCAATAGGTAGGTTTTAGGAAATGTTCAGACACTTCACTGCAGGCCCAGCGGCAGCCTATCCCACCCCCTTGGCAAATCTCCATCAGATGCAAGACAAGGACAGAGCCCTAGAAACGATAATGGAGCCCTAGAAACGATAATTAAATATTTTGGTCAAGGAGTTTGTGTTTTGCAAATGTCTGACAAAGTCCCTTTCAGGAAAGCCCCCTCCCCTTGTCTCCTCCCATCTAGACTGCCACCTGAGGGCTTGAGATGCTAATGTCTGGCAACCTCAAGGTCTAAAAACTCACATGACTACAATCAACATCAAAGACCTGCAGCCCTGGACACTCCTTCAGGCTGAAATCCCCCTACCCAGAGGCCCTTAAATATACACATTGCCTGGTCCTTCAGGCCACACTTGCCTCTGAGTGTCAGCCCCCTTTCCGATCTGTGAGAAGTGAATAATAAACTTCCCTTCTTTCTGCTTTCTTCCTTGTTGCACTCTTGCATTATTCCCGTGGCCCCGGCCCTGGCCCTGGTCCGGGCTCTGGCCCACCTTGCCTCAGCTGACCCTTTCAGAAGCCAAAAAGACATTTCAAATCAAACAGATTCAAAACCATGCTCCTGGTGGTTCCTCCACATATCTGCTTCTAGGACACCTCAGGCTTGTCAAAACGACTGTTATCAAAAAGATGAAAGAGCTGAGTGTTGGGGCTCACACCTGAAATCCTAGCACTTTGGGAGGCGGAGGCGAGAGGATTGCCTGAGTCCAAGTGTTCAAGACCAACTAGGGCTACTTGGCAAGACCTCGTCTCTACAAAAAAAAAAAAAAAAGTAGCCGGACATGGTGGCACATGCCTATAGTTCGAGCTACTTGGAAAGCTGAGGAGAAAGGATCACCTGAGCCCAGCAGGTTGGGGCTGTGGTGGCCCTAAGCGTGTCACTGCATTCCAGCCTGGGCAGCAGAATGAAACCCCAACACATACACACAAAAATTCATTGGATTATACACTTGAAAAGGGTGAATTGTGTGATATGCAAACTGTGCCTCTACAAAGTTGCTTTAAATGTGAAATATTTTAAATGATGCATCAGGGCTAGGTGCGATGGCTCACACCTGTAATTCCAGCACTTTGGGAGGCTGAGACTGGATGAATCGCTTGAGCCAGGAATTTGAGACCAGCCTGAGCAACATAGCAAGACCTCGTCTCAAATAGAATAGAATAGAATAGAATAGAATAGAATAGAATAGAATAGAATAGAATAGAATAGAATAGAATTTAGAAATCATCTTTGTAAACACATTAACAGGGTGAGAAGGTCCCAGGATGTCACGGGAGAATGTCCCAGGTAGAGACCGGAGAACGGCCGGGGTCCTTTGAGGAACAGCAAAGGGACCTGTGTATCTAGATTAAAACACAGATAAGAGCATGAGAAATGCAGGGAGCAAGGAGAGATGACAGGGGCAGGGCAAGCCTCGCAGCTCCCAATCTTCTGATGTCTGAGCCAGAGGGAAGCCAGGAGGGGCTTTGCAGAGGGAAGGTAAGACCTGATTTATGAGACCACAGGATCCCTGGGCTACTGGTGTGAGAACAGTCATGGTGGGGAAGGCAGGTAAGAGACTCGCTGGGAGATGATCGCAGGATCCAGGAGAAAGATGGTGGTGAGGACCTGGGGGGTGTAAGGAGACCAGAGAAGCAGCTGGATTTAGGATGTGCAAGGACACCCAAAAATAACCGGAATGCATTTATTAAAAAATTATGTGCGTTGGGCACGGTGGGTCACACCTATAGTCCCAGCACTTTGGGAGATGGAGACAAGAAGACTCCCTCAGCCCAGGGGTTCGAGACCAGCTTGGGCAACTTGGCAACACCTCATCTCTACAATAAATCAAAAAATCAGTCAGACATGGTGGTGCATGCCTGTAGTATCAGCTACTTGGAAGGCAGAGGTGGAAGGATTGCCTGAGCACAGTAGGTCAAGGCTGTGGTGGCCGTGAGCATGCCCCTGCACTTCAGTCTGGGTGACAGTGAGATTCCAACTCGAAAAAAACAAAATAAAAAACACAAAACTTGTGTATTTATTCTTACATGTTTAAACTTCAGTTACCTTCAAAGTGCTCCCTGTTGGATACACCTATGGAGACGCTTTTTCCACTGCTCAAAACAGTTTGGATTTTTTTTTTGAGTCAGAGTCTCCCTCTGTTGCCCAGGCTGGAGTGCAGGGGCACACTCATGGCCACCGCAGCCTCGACCTTCTGTGCTCTGGTGATCCTTCCGCCTCAGTCTCCCGAGTAGCTGTTATAGTCCAAGTAATGCTCGGCTGCTCCTTTTTGATACCAGTAAATCATAGGGGTAGGGAACTGGTAGAAGGAAGTTTATTTCTCAGTTCGAATCCAGGGAGCAGAGCCAGACTCAAGGTCTTTCTAAAATGGTTCTGCTCACCCTTCAAGTTTCACAGTCCGCTTCTATAAGTTCAGATTTCGCGGGTTTGAGACCCGCTTGGGCAACTTGGTGAGACCTCATCTCTACAATAAATCAAAAATTAGCTGGGTGTGGTAGCACGTACCTACAGTTCTGGCTACTTGGAAAGCTGAGGCAGAAGGATCGCCGGAGCCTAGCAGGTAGAGGCTGCGGTGGCTGTGAGCGTGCCACTTCACCCCAGCCTGGGTGACAGAGTGAGACTCCAATTCAAAAAAAAAGTCCAGATTTATTGGTACCTCCCAAAGATGTAAATCCTCCTTTCTTTGTTTTGTTTTGTTTTTTGAGTTGGAGTCCCACTCTGTCGCCCAGGCCAGAGTGCAGTGGCATGCTCCCAGCCACCACAGCCTCCATCTGCTGGGCTCAGGGAGTCCTTTCGCCTCAGCCTTCCAAGTGTGAAAGGGAAAAGAAGCAGCCTCTGCCCCTGGGATTTAAGGGGG